ACTCCCTCCACCTCAGTCTCCACTTTCCTGACCACACACTCATCACTCCTACAGCTGTAATCAGACTCTTTATCGTCACCCACACCTGCCCCCTCTTTTAGCCTCTAGGATTTTTCCAGCATCCAGAACAACAGAGTGTGACGGTGCACCCTCTCCAGTCCCCTCGGGGCTCTTGAACAGCCTCCACACCCACGGTGCCGGGGCAGATTAGGCCCCTCTGCGCTTTCTTTGGCCGGATCTCGTGGTTGCATAAGCTCCTGACACTCTCAAAAAGGTTTCCCTGTCGTGTTCAGAACGCAGAGCACACTGACACGGAAGGTGTTTAGATTAAAACTCTGTCACTGGGGGGTGGACAGTCAGCTAAAGGCCCGTTGCTAATGCTACATGACAGTTCGGGATTTTTTAGACATGAGCCATAGAGTATATATCCTAGAGTGACTGAGGAGGACTCATACGGCCACGTTAACCAGGAGAGAAACGGCATCTGCAAGGATGCAGCTGCAGCCCAATATGAGTGCACCAAAAGCCAAAACATGCTGGTTTACCTTTAGATGATTGAACCATACCGGCCGACCACAGAGATCTAACGCACTGCAGGTATTCTCTGAGGAGTCCAGCTCACACTGAGAACAATCAGCTGCACTTTTGTGTCACTCGCAAAGGTCATTACATTTCAAAGACACTAAATGCCCTTTCAGTGACACATGTATAAAAATGACACACTTAGTGATTATTGAATTGATTACAGCCACTTTAGAAATAGGTCTTTTCTAGCTTCTATCTTACTTATTGTTTCTGATTGTTTCACTGAGGAAGGCGGCAAGATGTGGGTGAAAGCTCTGGAAAATGAAAGACAAGAATGTTTCCAAGGACAAGAATACATAGCTGGTCACTGGAGTTTTCAGTAAATGTTACTTAACCAGGAATAACGTGACGACGGGTTGCGTTCCTCCAAATGTTGACTCTTAAATGTGAGGTTGACTCAACGTAAACTACAGTGTGAGTGTGTTCAGTGTAATGAAGAAAAATGTTGACCAGTGCATCAGTGTGGTACACTGATGTGTTTGTAATAGTTGTTAGACAACAATGTAGCTCTACGGCACAGAGGAATACAAAAAATGTAGCACAGCGATAGCCTCTAAGTTTCACAAAATGTGCTGAAACACAAGCTTCCTCCTGGTCAGAGGGGATGATGTGCACATGGTTATTAATATTCACAGAGGCAGGCATACTGTTGGGTAATGTGGGTCAAACGTGCACAGTGCAGGTGCACGTGAGGAAGTGAGGCAGAGCCGCCCCCGTCCCGACATTAAGGGGACAGGGGTTGGGGGGGGGGGGGGGGGCATCTTGAATCAGTTTTGAGTCTGAAACGGCCTCTGGTCTGTCTGCAAGCCACGTGGGACATCAGTGTGCTCTGGCTGCAAATACACAGAGAAACAAATATGCACTTTGTGTATTTGGGGGATGTTGATATTTATGAACATTTCAGGCCGGTTATCATCCTGATGGAAGTACTGGGGCAGTTTCCCACTTTGAAGGAGAAGGAAAGTCAAAGGAAGAAAGCCTAAAATGACAGAGAGTGCTGTGATGAACCTGCTCTACATACTCGATGTAGCGCTCCACTGCACTCAATGTTCTCCCAGCATGCTCTGTCATAATTTCTATTTTAACGTCAGTCTGGGTCAAGTAATGTTCTCACTCTCTCTTAAAGCTGCCGGGGTTTATCAAACAACTCTCAACCATACCAGTAGTGATTTGGGACTACACTTGGTCCGAGTGTGTGCATCACATAATCAAAAGAAGACATTGTTTGCTATTTGCTAAACATTATGATATTTGTTTATGTGTCATTTAAATATATCTTATCTCTCTCCAGGCAGAAATTATTTATAAAGAATAAATCTGTTTCAAAGATTGAAATGTTTATTTGCTTTTGTTGTTGAGAGTTAAGACAAAAAGATCAATACCACTCTAAATAAGAAGATACAGCCAGCTGCCAGTTAGCTTAGCTTAGCATAAAGACTGGAAGCAGGGGGAAACAGCTAGCCTGGTTTCAGGAAGTCACTGCATCCGGCCAAGAAACAGTCCCGACCATTTTTTTTTTCACGCTTTGGCTTTTGTACAAATCAAACAAGTAAGATATTCCGTGTTAATTAGCATTGAATTTAGTTAAAGTCAGGCTAGCTGTTTCCCCTATTTCCAGCCTTTGTGCTAAGCTAAGCTAAGCTAAGCTGCTGGCTGTAGCTTCATAATTATCATACATACATGAGAGAGTTATCGATCCTCTCATCTAACTCTGAGAAGGAAACCATTTAAGCACATTTCACAAACGTCAAACTATTCTTCTACATTTATTAAAGAATAAAGATGCTTTTCCTACTTCACTCCAAATGCTTCCCATGTTTTCTAATCAATATAACACTGTCTTGCCACCATGTCCAAGAGGAAACACACTGCCATGACCAAACACTCTGAAAATGATCCTGTCTGGAATGTTGAGCATAAAAGTCCCTTCGCAAGAGCCAAAGCTCGCAGCAGATTAACTCTGATTGAAGGTCCTGAAATTACCTCCAGACTTGGTCAAATAGTTGGTGTAATGGAGGGGCAGCTAATGGGCGGAGAGCTATGCATGCATGTCACGTATCCATGCGTCCCATCATCAGCAGTGCTGGGAGCACCCGGAGCTTCCAGTGCATTTTTCACTGACTCAATGTCTGAGGTTTTTTCCTTGTATGTGGAATCAGTTTATGAAGTAGATTTAGTTCTAATACCCTGATCTGATCGCTCTGTTTTCAGTGGATTTTAGGTCAAATTCTTCACAAGAAAACAGGGTTTATCTGCAGCTGAAACATCTTTTTTCTTGGCCCCGTTTCATTCACATCCTCTCATATCTTGTACCGTTTTGATTGGAATTCTTTTGGTCTGTGCACAATTTGTTTCCTTCGTGATTAAGAGCTGCGTAACTCAAGTTGTTTGATGCTCTCCAGATGGCAGCTATTTGAATAGACATGCAAAGCTCTGATCAGCACAGGCCACTCAAAACAAAGACAACAATCTGACGTAAGCAGAGATTCCGGTATTTGTTCTGGGATAAGAAATAACTTGAGCTCTTATCTTTGTAAACTTCCTTGGATGAAGCTTAGGGATGCTGTATAGAGTATGACTGAAAGCTGCAGAGCATAAGTATTTGGGACAGTTCTGTGCATGCATCGGCATCTGCAGACTCATTCACTCCAGTTTTTTGTGTGTTTTTCCCTCTTTTGAGGAGCTGGCAGGCGACAGAGCCGCCATCATCTGGGTGCAGTAATGCCTCAAAACACAAAGAGCCCCATTCAGAGTCCTCAGCAGGCGTATCCCACACCCACACAGTCAAGAGGACACCCGAACCCATCAAGCACACACAGCCTGGAGTCATTAAGGAAAGCAAAGTAAAACATTCACAGGAAAAACATTTACCAGCAAAGGAAGGCTCGGAGAAGGAGAAATGAGAGCAAAAGGATGGAACAGAAACCTGTCGATCACCACATCTGTCCAGGAACTGTCTCCCTCCTGCCGCCTCATCCACGGTGATTTACGTTCATCAAACATACACAGGCATTACTCCCACAGCTTACAACAATATCTACAGCTATTCTGAGGAGCTCAGGGGTCCACATGCCGTGTGTGAGTCTGGAGCCAGCAGAGATCTCAGAGGCAGAGAGAGAGGCCCTGATCTCTGTGAACTCTAGACTGAGGCCCACAATGGAAGAACTATATATTAAAGGGGTACTCCACCAATTATTAAAAGTCGTTGGTTTTTGTAAAATGGCCTCAAGTGATGTCACTTGAGTCAATGTCGGGTCTGAGACTACAAGTTTGAAAATGAAAAACAAATCTGTCAGTGTTGAGTTACAAAGAAGTGTTTACCAGACCTCTGTCTTCATCTTAGCTTCAGCCCCGTTACCACCTTAACATACCTGAACCGCTGACCCAACTATAGGCGTTCAAGTTGCATTGTGGGTAATGTAGGCGACATGTTTTGACAAGAAAGATTGCATGGAATAAAAAGTACAATCTCTGGTTCTGTTGCGTCAACTTTGATTTTTTGTTTTGTTTTAAGCTGTCTATCATAAGTCTGACAATGTTTACTGTATATACAAACACAATATTGTTGTGTGTGACAAGAGGAGTCCAAGAGAGTCTTAATGAGATTTCCAGAGCAGAGTTCCCTAATTTTCTGACCACGAGTGAGACTACATCTACTATGTGCGTGCCAAGGTTGTAAATCACCAAATGCCCTGATATCAAACACACTGGCACTTCCATATTCCCACACTGAACCGTTCCCTTTAGATCATAAATTTTATTTGGCTTTGCAGTGACTGTGATGAAATACGACACTTGGAGCATCAACACATCCTGCAGTGGATCCCCGTGCAGCACAATGCGGAGTCTGAACGCTGCTGATTCTTCACGTAACCCCACACCGGTGCAGCCAAGGCATGAAATATTCATGTGAAGATGTTTGGAAACACATTTGCTTTTATTAAAAGTCACTCAGTCTAAATAATAGATTGTGTAATGTGACACTGGAGATGGCTCAGTGCATAAAAAACCTAAAGAACCCTTTTAACATAAAGTGTAATCGGACGCCATTTAATTATCATTAATTACGTTAAAACAGTAGAAATACTCACAGCAGGAGGTCAACATGAGGCCAAAGATCTCTAATGTACTTATAAATGTCCAATTAAATGGAAAGATGAAGAGCAATCTCACAGGGGAACTAGTGTTTGTAGGGTTGCTGAACAGAATTTAACACTTTCTTTCAAGCTTGTTATCTCTCAAACAGACAACTGGGACAAAAAGACTAGGCTAAATGAAATACACACATATGCAGCCAGTAAATAAGGAAGTGATGTTTACTGTGGAGGTTGATTCATGTCATGTATAAAGCACACACTGCCCCCTGTTGAGCAGATAAGAAAACACAGACAAAAAGCTGCATGACAAGCATTTTTTATTTTTTTTTAAAAAAGCAGCTCATTTAATAAATCATCTTTGTACAAAACGTCAGTAGAGAGCACGCTACGGCAATGTGAGCTAGTGTTTTAACATGAAATACTCAACAACTTGGTGTCACAGTATTTTTCTTGTGAAAACGTAGAACGAGTTTAGCAGTATTTGTAATAATTACAGTAATAATATTCAGAAGTACCTGCATAGAAAAGCTTAATATGTACCAACACTTAAACCATCATTCTGGTTGACACATCCGTACTTCATTCCATAATGAAATAAACCTTCAGTAACCTCAAATTCATTTGTTTCATTGTGAATTACATCATTTGGCATCGCTCCAACGTACTAAATGTTCAGCTCAGATGAACCTTTTACGGACATAAAACTGTCTAACATGTAAATGTAAATGTGATCCATCGTGCCCATGAATTGCACTATATTATAGTTACTTCTCCATGCTTTCACTTCCTTTCTTAATATTTCGTGGCGTCTTTGTTTTGGCCGCTTTCTCTTTTTTAACTTCTTCCTTCTTCACCACCACCTCGCTGCCCTCGTCCTCCTCGTTCTCCGGCTTGGTGGGGACCTTCCTCAGCTTGTGCTTGCCTTTGATGGGAGCAGCGAACGTGAGCGAAGACTTGATGAAATCCAGAGGGAAGATGCCCACGTCTCCGTCGAAGCGGTTCTTGGTGACCTGCAGGGACCTGCGGCCGGCACACGTTACCAGCTTCTTCTCCTGCAGAATCAGGACGTTGTCGGCTTCTTGGCTGGCCTGCGAGGGGTTAAAGGTCGAGATGTGTTTTAGTTGTGTTGAATAACTGCAGTTTTGTAAAGAGCGTCAGGGCAAAGACAAGTCAATGAATGTGTTTGTTTGTTTAGATCCGCTACTCTAGCTACAAAAACAGCAAGACTCATGAGCTCTCTTTGTCCTCTTTAAAACATTAAGCGTATTCAATTGTAAATAAAACTGTTTAAAAGTTAATTTCTATTCATGAACTACACAGTTCTGACTAAAACATGATAAAAGAAAAAGTTGAAAATGGAATCCGTCACTGTTGGAAGTGTAAACTAACCACTTTGCGTCTCAGTTTAGTTTAAAAGAGAAAGGTGAGACGTTACCTTTGCTGAACCAAAGATGGAGGCGGTTTGCAGCTCTCGGTCATCCTCCTCTTTCCGGGGGTGAATGACCAGAGTGACATGGCAGCTGCTGTTGGTGGCAAACTTCCTGAACGCTCCGATAATGTGGTCCTGGACCGCAAACCTGGACACGTGGAACATCTTTTATTTCCCCATTTGTGATGGAAAACTTTAAAAGTGTTGTGCTTGAAGAAACCGATATTGCAGAGAGAGAGTTTATCGTTGTATTTGTCGTAATGAAACTCTTACTCACTTGTCGACTGAGAGGTTTTCTTGCCCCATCATGAACTGCAGGTTGTCGATGATCACGTGGTTGATGTCGTAAAGGTAGACAGCATGCTGCATTGTGTCCAGCACCGTCCTTTAGAGAAGGTTGGAGGGGTCAGATCAAAATGATTCACGTAAAAATGCTGCTATTATATCATATATTAATCTGTTGATGTAAAAGATTTACTTTGGTCAGACTTACTTGATGTTCTGCTGCCCGTGGAAGGTCATGAAGTAGAGCGCCAGCTCTTCGAACTTGTCTGCCCAGAAGTCGTACTGCTCCAGGTTCTCCTCCAGCCTCTGCATGGCAAACTGCGTCAGCATGATCTTCGCCAGGCGCACGTTGTTGATCTCGAAGCTGCCCCACAACGTGTTGACGCCCTGCATGCAGAGGTCCAGGGCAACCTCACTGATAAAGGTGGTCTTCCCACTGCCGGTAGGACCTGGTACACAAAGAGACATGCATGTTAAGATACACTATACGTGTTTGTTTGTAAACTGTACAGGGTGAGTAAGAGATGATAAGAGATGTGGTTCTTAAATGTACAACTCTGCAGAGTTGGGAGATCAGGACTATATTTTAAATTATGATTGTTTGAGAAACACAATTACTGACATCATGCTTCCTACCTGTGAAAACCGTCAGCTCCCCCTTGCGGTGTCCCTTCAGGATCCTGTTGAGCTCTGGAAACCTCCCCCACTTCACTCCGGCCACCTGCTCCGTGTTCACCAGCTCCCCGTACACGTCCTCTCTGAGCTGCTTGAAGGAAACGATGGACTTGTGGGCCGCTGGGATGGAGGATTTGATGATGTGGCTGAAGTTCTTCCCCTGGGCCAGCGCCTCTACGGGACACGGCCGGTACTCCCCGGGCCGCACCAGCGAGCAGCGCCTCAGACCCAGCTTGCGCGAGAAGATCTTCGACGCCTCCCAGGAGCGAATGTCGTCTCCCAGCCACAGCGTCACCCGCTTGAACTGTTCCAGGTAAGGCAGCAGGATCGGCGGGAGGCAGCTGACCCCGCGTGGGAGAGCCACGCTGGGGAGTCCCGTGGCCTGGCTCACAGCCAGAGTGTCCAGTTCGTGTCCGGTCAGCACCACCTCCGTGTCCATACGGCCCACCAGGGGGAGGCCAAACAGGCTGTAGTACGAATTAGACTTTGGGACTGTAGCTTCATTGTAGATAACTCTGTCAGTGTCTGTGCTTTGGGCGGAGAGCAGCTTCACCCCCTTTAGGGAGGAGTCGGGTCCACCAAACCAGGGGAAAACCAGACTCTTGGTAGGTTTGAAGAGCCGCACGCCAAACCTCTTGAGTGTTGCATTTGAGACCTTTGTGATCTGAAACAAAACGTTGATAAAGCTCATCATCTGTGAGGAAAATAGTCTTGAGATGTTGTTGTTTTATGGCGATTATACTCGTCATTATTTTTTACAATTTGTCTTTAGATTTTTAGTCTTTTATTGTCTTCTTGTTTGTTTTTGTCCTGTTTATTTATCATGCCGTGACTAATGCATTTTATTCTGATTTAGTTTTCATACAAGTTTTATAACAAAGATAATATGTTTTACTGATTATTAATATTATCAATATTTAAATGGCATGCAATTACAACAATTACAGTTGGAAAATCTTTAATAACATGCTCTGAATATTGAAAGATGGACAAAATATATTAATTTAAATGATAACTGAATGCTTGTCTGCCTCTTAACGATAACTATAAGATTACAATGTAGACCTTTAGATAGATTTACTTTCCCTGTTTTCAATGATTGTGATGTTCTCTGTTGTTCCTTTGATTATTCTGACGTATACAAATAAAAACATAATATGTTAGAATAAAAAACACCCATGCATTTACTCAACGTTACCTGGAACATGGTCTTAACCAGCAGAGCCTCGTCCTCGGGAAGGTCAGAGAAGGGCACGGAGCTGGACCAGATCCTCTGCACCTCCCTCAGCTCCCTCTCCATCTCATCCTGCTCCTCCAAACTCTCCGGGTATCCCAGCAGCACACGGGGGCTGAGGAAGTCCTGCTCCTCCTTCTGCATCACCTCCAGGCAGTCCTGGAGATCCTCCCAGCTCCCTTCCACCAGCGTGTCCTTGCACAGAAACTGTCCGGTGGTTTTGTCGACGAACAGGGAGCAGCTGTCCCTCCTGGCGGACGCTTCCACGAAGATGCTCGGAGTGTGGAGGCAGCTGTAGCCATCGTGGAAGGGAATGTCTTTGGAGCGCAGGTACTGTTTGATGTCTGTGACTGTGACGGGGCTCACAGGGAACTCCACAGTAGACTTTGCATCTTTCTTAAAAGCCCTGGTCCCACTGTGTGCCAGGAAGTAGCCGGTACCCCGAAGCTCCAAACCACAGGGAGGCCTGTGCAGGAGCCCCTGAGTGAGAGGTCTCACACAGAGGGATGGGATGTGTCTTTGGTGGAGAAACCTCGGGGCTGCCACCTGCAAGAGACAGGTGGTGCCCCTCAGCAGCGGGCTCCTCCACATTAGTTATCTGGTGAGTTCATTGGACCTGCGACAGACACGAGAAGAGGGAAGAAACATCAAGTAACACACAGCAAAGCCACAGAGTTCATTCATGGATGACCTATGCTAGTGTTAGTCAAAGACGGAGAGGCAGAAAACCGTTATCTTCTTTATTTTTTTTATCAAACGGACATTGATTGTACAAGAAAATTAGCCTGCATGTGCACGAAAGCCTTATCTAGAAATATATTACGTTTAATTAAAGAACAAACGCACAAAATCCACCTTACTGGCTCTGATGTCTGCCCTCATTTTCCTCCACGCTCCTATAACCCGGGCTTTTCGGTGCGTTATCAAAACAAGTCCGTGTGAAACATAGGCTGAACTCCGTATATATGTTTTTACTATAATTTTATCTTTACAAATCAAAATGTTTTAAATATGCGTGTGTGAAATGTTTCTTTTACTTAATTAGAATTAAACATTTTCATTTGCCAACCGAAGAAGTTTAATTTTCTTCAACGGTCGTGTCAGGGATGTGTTGCACTCCGGAACATTTCATCGACGGACCAAAGCACATACATGCCCGTCAAGTCGTCCTCTGTGCATGTTGTTGCTAGCTAACGTTAATGTGTGCTCAGCGGTTGTTTTAGAGTACTTTAATTAAAATATAGTATATATATAATATATATATATTAATTCACTTTCACACGATGACATCCAGAGGGACAGCGAGTCGCTTCCTGAACAGCGTTCTGCAGAACGGTGTCGGTCGGTACGTCTGCCAGCTGAAGCGAGTCTCCATCATCTTCTCTAAAAACGCACAGAGCTCGTTGGGAGTCAGGTAAAAATACAATTAACATGCGTATATATCAATACAAAAATAGTGAAGTTTAGCCCTGCTGTAATTTTATTCGTTGATCTTTATCTGCTAAGTAACTAGCTGGTTTTTAAATGTACTCCAGTATTTTGTTCTGAAATGTGGATTTTGAAGTACAAAGTAGCAGAAAATAGAAACACTCAAAGCTGTATTTAGAGTAAGAATAGCGCTTTAACAAATGTACTTGGTTATATTCCACCTTGTCAGTTGCAGCGTAACAAAAGGAAACATCAGATATTCTTTGGTCAATAAGAAAAGACGCTCCTGTATAGTGACACAGAGCGACCACTGCATCACTACCGTCTTCCTTTCTTCTTCAGGGAGTTCATTGAAGAGGGAGTGGTGGATTATGCCAAGAAGAACCCTGCCACCGTCGTGTACGTGTCTCCTCAGTCATGCAGGATACCCAAAATAGTTGCAGAATACTGTAAGTGCTCATGACTTTGTGTTTTGATGGGACGTTCGACTAATCCTCAATTTCTTTCCTCGTTATAGCTCATGTTTTTATTTCTAGAATAGTGCTTTTATTTTATTTTAGAGTCGTTATTTCCAAAATATTTCCTGGAACCTTTCTGGGAAAGAACGATGATATGTTGAACTATTCACAGGGGAAATAGAGAGAAAGTTCTGAGACAGTTTTATGAGTTAAGCTCGTTGTGTTGAGTTTATAAGCCCTCGATGATTTCCAGAGAAATATCTTCTAAAGAAATGCTTAAATCTTAACTGGAAAAACATACAGAGATCCTTTCAACTCAAGTAAATATGAATTTGCAATTGTATTCTCCATTTATATTGAGTGTGGTTGCCTGTAGAACACCATCTCAATTTTCCTTATAATTAGCACCAACTTAAGTAATTACACAATAATTTAAAGTCACATATCAGATCTTTTTCTAGGACATTTAACTTAATTGTGGGACCGTTAAAAAAGACAAAAAACAAACAACGACAAAATATTTCCTTTTTTCATTATTGTTGATATGATCAAAAATATAAGCAGACTTCTGAAGCAAATAGAAACATACCTTGTCTATGCTAAAATTAACAAACGCTACTTTAAAGTTGTGCTTTACAGTTGAAAGGTCAGGTTCAGGGTTATAATCAAGCTTTCTGGTAAAGTGTGTGACAAGTTTAAGCCTGTGGTTTTTCTTTAAATTAAATAAATAAGAAAAGTGAACTGCAGTAAAGTTATGTGATTTATGTTTGCTACTAGATGCTGTAGGGGGCAGTATAACACTGTTTTTTATGAGACCTCTATTCTGGTACTTTCTTGTTGACACTGCTACATTTCCCACTGGGCGGGTTTCTCTGTGTGACCCTTTTTAAAGTCACTCATATCTTTTTATTCCTTCCTGCAGTAAACGGCAACGTGAGGGAAGAACTCGTCACGAGCAAAACATCCCCGCAGATTTCGGAGCTTTTGACCAAGCTGACCAATCAGTCCGGTCTGGACATCATCCGCATCCGCAAGCCCTTCCACACAGACAACCCCAGTATCCAGGGCCAGTGGCACCCATTCACCAACCGGGCCCCGTCCATCGGCCCCATCAGACCACAGAACCAGGACGCCGAATAAGGACCAGAGTCTGAAGTGACAATTGCTCATTAATTGCAGAATATTCTTGCGAGATGTCCTTCTTTGAAGCTGTTCAAGTGAACGATCTGAATTAAATCACAGGTCAAGTACGTTTGCGGCAATTTTCCAATGATTCTGCAGAAGACCCCACTAACGGCAGAACATTTTCCACCATGCCGTTCTTTCGTTGGTGGCGGCGAAGCCTCTGTAGCTGTGCAGAAAAGTGCACACATCACCAGCTCTGAATGTTGATTAGACTTTACATGAATCCACCAGAGGCTTGTCAGCTGGCATATTAAAAAAACAACATAACTGTTTTTTTTAACGTCAAGGTTATTTGAAGATTCACTGTGATGAAGTGCAGCGCGGAGCAGATGGAACTTTGTATGAAATAAATATTATTGTGCAAATGCTGGCATTGGTGTTTAAATTTAGATTTTCTTGCGAGTTGTATTTTGACAGCTTGTCAGACGATCAACAGAGTAAACCTGATTGCAGCTTTAACTGCATTTAAACTACTTAACAGACCAGACGCACATCAGATGTACACCTTTTATTTTTATTTGTATGACACAAGGGAATGTACATGTTTTTACAGTTCAATACTGAGAAGGTTTGAGGGGTTTCCGTGCTGCACGACTTTAAAGGATCCAGAGCTTAAACGAACATGACAGATGGTTGTGCGATAGCTTGAGGGACAAGTCTCAACCTTCAGCAGCACAGAGCTGCCCACTGTATCGGCTGAAAGATGAACAGAAAACTCCTCCAGTGGGTTATTTGTTCAAATTCAACAAGGCGGATGTTGGCAGAACTCCTTGCTGCTTCGTTCTTTGAAATTCTCGCCCTGAATTCATAATTTTTGAGCGCAAAAGGCCGCTTGACCTTTTCTTTTCCTTTCACAAGTGACCGCGGTGTTCCTCTCACCAAAAATACATCAATACAACCAAGTACCAGTCATCAGATGAATACAAATAAGCATGGAGTGAACATGCAAGGTGCTCCCAATGAGCAGATTGCTTGTTTCTGCTGGTTGATGGATACTAGTCTGCTGCCATATAATAGCTCTGGATGCAGAAATAATGGTCTGGCTACCTTTAGAAAATTCATGTAGAATAAGTGCGTCAGACGCCTGCAGATGGAGGCCGATGAGTGAGAGACAGTGGAGCCGAGCTCTGCAGCTGATTTCACTCATTTTCTCCCCAAATAGCTGCATTATTCATAAGATTGTGGATGCCCTCTCCCTTTTAAATTACCCACCGACACACAGACTACAGTTCCTTTAGTACTTTTTCGCCAATAAAGAGATTTAAATGATCTGTTAACTTATATCACACACTTTAGGTACAATTTAGCCTGTTAAAGCATGCAAAGCACTGAAAGCATAACTGGCTGACTGTCGTTTCGTGCTCACTTCCTGCATTTTAATTAATCTACAGATATCAGGGCCCCTTTGCTCTCCTCACACCCGCGCTCCCCAATGGGAGCTGCCACAGCCAGACCCACGCTACGACATTAAAGGCTCTAAATCAAGATGCTGTTGCTAAGTTACTGCCTTGGAAATGGTCATTTTTATCCCCCCTCTGAGCGAATGCTCTACCTCTGCTCTGTCAGAGTCGTATGTAAACGACTCTGGCATCATGTGTGGGCTCCATCCCCAGTGGAGGACAGTGGCTTTGCTGCTTAGCCACACGCTAAAAACAAAAGTGTTTGTGGTGTCTTGAGAATAGGATTGTGTGCGAGCATGTTTTGCATGTCATTTCCTGACTGCCCCCTCGGGGCTGTTGACACTCCCCGAGCTGAGCACAAGTGTTGTTATCCGCACAAAAGCAAATGGAAATTTAATGAAGTCAAATAAATAAGACATGAGAGACGAGATACAAGTAAATCCTTTCTGTCAGCAGCTCAGGTGGTTACAAGCAGCAAGTCACACTCTGAGAAAACCAGACAGATAAGTTCAGCGTGCATCAAAACTCATACGGAACCAGCTTGATGGAAGGTGTCACAGTTTACGAGGCATTACATGACTTTAACAAAATAACAGTGCAAATTGTGAACTCTTTACAGTACTTTCTTTGGCCAACATCCTAGAGAAATATTCTACATAAAATATACTGTATCTTGCATACTGAGGCCGCGGGATGTACTTGCTTCACTGTGAGTTTTAAGTACAGAAACACGGTGATTTAAAGCTGGAAGCCAATGTGTTAGCTATTTTTAAAGTCCATACTATACTATACAGCGCAGAGCCAGTGCCTATTGTAAACAGATTGTCCTCTAAGTGGGAATGAAGCTGCAGCAAAGGATCAGAAGATCCAGAAGAAGCTTTCAGGATTGTCCACAACTTTTACATAATACAAGGTTAAAACAAATGTTAAACTTGCCCTAAAATAAAACCAAACAAGAACATTTCTTTACAATTTTGATTTAAATTAAATTAAATGTGAATCACGCCTATAGATCAGCGTGGATCAGAAAACGTTCACTTGATCCATGTCAGCCTTTCTGTCCCTTTAGGACACAGATTCATATTTAGGCTTTCTGCGTGCAATAAAAAAAGCTATCTTACAAATAATAACATTAGCCAGAAACATGAGCGGAGCATCGACAGCGTCTATCAATGCAGAAAATGGGATTGATCCACAAACACAAACTCTAAGGCTCTAATTGATTTGGGGCCATTTGTAAACTCAGCAGTGAGGATGTGAGCAGACAGAGTAATAGATGACGCTGTCGTGCAGCGGCGAGGAGAGAGACGGGAAGAATGAAGATGAGGGTGAAAACAAGTGAAAGGGCTAAAAAAAAAAAAAGAAAATGGCTGACAAGACAAAGTGCAAAGTAGCTTCTGCCAACACGTCCATCTGCTCTCTGGCTGGAATTGACACACTGGTCAGATCCAATATTGAACACTTTTCCAGATAAGCAGCAAGGGGAAAAAGCCTCCTTAATATGTAACAGAGGGGCAGATATGACACGTTTCGGTGTGGTAACGTTTGGACGCATAATTAACTTGGACAGAAGTTCAATATATAGCCACATATGTGAAAGGGTGTTCAATACATATGCTATTTGTTTAGTTTCACCCCAAGCAATGCCCATTTAGTGTGCTGCAGGAATGAGTCCTGGAAATGAGTCAGCAATTTTGCACTTTCTGGTCCCTCGTCTTGAAGTCAATGGGTTTTCCTCGTCTCTCCTCGATGATATTAATGGTGTTCCACTCAGCTGTGTAAGCAAAGAGTGACAAAATTTGTTGTGCAAAGATTGAAAAAAGAGCCACATAGGCAAGCGCTTAGGCCTCGATCACACTGAGACACGTGGTTAGAAACGTGCGCTCCATTCTTGCGTTGCACATCTGATTTTTGGCCCAGACAACCAATCAAATCACACGAGAGGCTTTACTACTTTAGCACTGACTCCCTGTCGATGCCTCGTAGTTGTGGTCGTGCTAACTGGCTAGTTAGTTAGCCATTGGGCTGTGAGAGAGCTACGACGTATGTGAGAGTGAAGGTCAAATTCATATCTCATGTTGTGATAGCTTCATTGTAAGCTACGGGGAGCAAGCGAGTGAGTTAATCCAGTATTCGCAGCTATACCTATATCCCGCAAGATTATTTCGTATGTTATCCACGTAATTATGAACGATGAAGAATAAGGACCGCAAAAGCGCAAGCATTAATGGAGGGAGGGGAGGTGGACGGGTCCAACAAACGACGATCTTTCAGCCAGGATGGTGTCGTTTGTCAGCGTTGATGTCTTTGTCACGTAACTCACGTACTTCAGTAGCAGCACTTCCGTAGTCATAATAACCCGGTCGACAATCTTCTCCTAAACCTAACTAAGTATACCTCGAGTTTTTTCTAAACCTAACCAACTAGTTTTGTTGCCTAAACCAAACTAAGCAGTTTCCTGTGAAGACGAAAGTTTATTTTGAGTGGAAATTGACACGTGTTGCTGGCTTTCGTAGAAAAACGCCATAAAATGAGGAGCAACTTTCATACTTTTCATATCATACGAACCGTTGCATGAGGATGTAGGTTAATCACATATGCGTTTTTTGAGGCCTGTAGTGACGCCTCTCGGTGTGATCAGCCCCTCACTTTGAATCATACTGAGGCCTTTAGTCTTACTCTGCATATAGAGTGCCTTTCATGGTCCATGTTCTCAGAGAACAAAGTGGCTCACAAGGTTGACAAAGAGGACGATTGAAAACCTGCAAGTGCAAAATAGCTGCTGCCCCCTCGTATCATCATCTGTTTCCCGCATGGCTGAACAGGACACTCAGGTCAAATGTTTTCTGTCTGCTTCTACCTGCAGAGACGACAGCGCTCCATGCAAACAGACAAGAGGCCCGAGTCCTCTCCTCTCCTCGTGGAGGCGAGCCAAGCACCCCCGTTTACTGTCAGCGACGTTGTGACAGATGCGCGCTGCGTGCGAGTCACAGTCGAGGGCTGCTGCTGACTCAACACTATGCGGGAAAGACGGATCTATATTCACCACTGACACGTTTACAAACGACTCCAAGATTCATCTTTCAGGCCCTTTAAGTTATGCGTGTGTTGTTTTTAATGACAGCGCTGTTCACCTTGTCGAGGAAATACTGTTGTTTTGGCACTGCTCTGATGTCAGGGTAAACACTGAGGATGGCATGTGTGAAGGTTTTCTCTAGTCTGACTCAACAACATCTCACCACCAGCAGCTTTAAAGAAGTACATGAAAAAAACATTTAGTCTCTTTGCAACGTCATTTTCAAAAAGAACCCGGTGTTGGCGTGAAACTATTGTCAGGATGTCTCAGGAGGAATCTTCGAGGTGTCGACACAAAACAGCTTCAGTCTGACAAAGGCAACGTTTATGTAAGTTCATCTGTAGGAATATAAAAGAGAATATAAGCATCTTCTGTACAGCATCTGGTCCGTTCGTCTCCAGCGTGTGCTGCGGTTTCCTCTCCTGGGCCATGAAGCCGGTCTGCGGTGTTCAGTGAATTCAATCAATGTGACCGCAAACTGGCTGCTCCTTTAATGGTCAATAACAGACCACTCAAGCTCTTTACTTACACAGATGCTCAGGTTTGCTACAGGTGTTTCCACTGGCACGGACACAACAACCTGCTGCTACCAGCTGCTACCAGCGATGAGCTGACTGAAATCTACATGAGGACAGAAGGAAATGAAGAAAGAGTGGTTTGAAAATATATATTGAAATGTGTGATTTTTTCTTTCCACCTGAGCTCTCGTGTGCTGTAACAGCTCCTTAAAGTGATACTCCACATGAGATCTGTCTTTTGAGAAGTTCGATAACGTAGTTTGCTCCCTCATAGAGAACAAAAGTTTGTTATGTGCTTTCAGCTTCACAAAGGATTTGCTGATTTTGTCTTTTTTATGTAATTTAAGTTGGATATTTTGGGGTTTTCAAATTGTGGTTGGAATTCTTTCCTATTTTCTGTCTTCTTTAGAGACAAAAAAATGTTATGGAAAAAATAATTAATTAATTAATCATGAAAATAATTGTTGCAGCCTGACTATGGATTCTTATTATCTCTGCTAGGAAAATCAGGCGATCACTCACGTGTGTCCATGAGTGAGTGAGTGTGCACCTTTGTGTCTGTCCACGACTGATCTCACATTCTGCTGCAGCAAACTGCAGAATATTTTGCCCTTTTATTGAGTGAACCTTTCTAGTTTGGACATGAAATTATTCTCGTAACAATCGTCTTCTCTGCTTGTCCATTCCAATGTTTCTTGGATGTTTGGATGTTAAAACTGTTGTAATAAGTCTTTTAGTAGTCCTTAAGTTTGGTAGATCATGTGCATTTTTAGGAGGAGACTGGAAGGTCGGGGCTGATGTCACACACGGGTATGCCTCATTAGTCACTGATGCGCCACACCTGGAGGTGCTATGCCAACCAATTCATCCCAAAAGGATCCTTTTCTTTTTGCCCATAAATGAACCCTGAACTGCCGACATCTGCCCAAAACCAGAGAAGGGCTCTCAGCTGGAGCAGCTTCTATCACTATCATCCTCATAAAAGGATTTTGCGTGATACAGAATGATCCTGCGACTACAGGTGAGTCAAACCTGTTCACCCCTTCAGACCAGGGAACAGAAACATCTTGATGTCAAAGTTGCAAGAGGCAGGGAAATTATCTAGTTTCCAACAGTAGCAATGCACAAAGGATTTTGGGTGGAGTATCCCTTTAAGCTCCACAGAGGTCTAACGTTGGCACTTCCTGAACACTCCCACAGTCTCATAAATACGCGATCGCCTCCTGGCCTGATTTATTTTCGTGTCCCAGTTTGCACCTTTGCATTTTTGTGTCATCCGACCGCCATCTTTCACAAGCCTCCAGAGAGTCTTGCTAGCTCGTGGTCATTTTGTAAAAGTGCAGTCTGTGGCCAAATTTTTTACACAGCTAGACTTTTTAAATATATCAGTCTCTGGTTAGTGCAGTCCATAGTTGACTTGAAATCATGGGCCGTTTGTCGTGTGCAGGTTGCACATTTCAGATCAAGTGAGGACACGACCTGCAGGTGACACTGGGTGAATAACAGCAGCGTTTGATACAACAGTCAGTTCTCCCCTCGGCTACGGGTCACCCTCTGGGTTTAAGAAATAAATAACAACGACTGAGAGGGGGCGTCCTAGATGGAGCTCTCGTCAGGCTGCAGGTCCAGCTGTGAGTGTTTCCTCTGCTCCAGGATCCTGTTGAGCTCCTCTGTGAAGGAGTGGTAGAGCGGCGATATGCCGTCGTGGTCGACCTGCCTCAGCAGCACGTAGCTGTTCCCGTTCATCTTCCTCAGCACGCTGGGCAGAGTGGCCGACAGCCCGTTGGCGTAGTCCATGTTGGGCAGCGGAGGCGGCATAGGAAGAGGAGGGGCCGGTGGGGGTGTTTTGCACGGAGAGAACTGGCCTTCACCTGGAACTATCTGCAGGAAGCCGTCACCCATGTCACCGAAAGTGGGCACCGAGATGGAGCGTCGACCCTGGCGGCCATTGTAGTGGCTGGAGATGGTTTTGAGTTCCAGATGGGAGCTCCTCTTTCTCTCAGAGGCCCCCAGGACCTGCAGCCCCTGCTGGGAGAACTTCCGGTCCGGGGACACCCGTCTGGTGCAGAAGCTCACGTAAAGCAGCACCACAGTTAACACCAGGCAAAGCCCTCCGAGGACCGCCACCAGGGAAATGTACACGGCCTCCATGTGTCTGTAGGTCTGGAACTCTGCTCCCGGAGGCAGCGGGGCGGGGGGCGAGGGCAGAGGCTGCTCAGTGGGGCTGCTGGTGGAGAAAACAGTCGGGCTGGAAACTGTAGTGGGGTGCGTCGTGTCTGTGGGCTCCACGGGGAAGTACGCGTCCGTGTGCACTCTGACTGTGTAAAGATAAATCAGGACTGAGACAGAGTTCTCCACGGCGAAGCAGCGATAAGACCCACTCTGCTGGGCACGAGCTCCGATTATGAGGAGGCCGTCTGTGCCGATGCGGTAGCCCGAATTGAGGCCGTATCCCTGGAGTTCTTTGCCGTTCAGCATCCAGCGTGGAGCTGCCAGGTTGGAGCGCAGTTCGCACTGGAGGAGCACGTCGTCACCCAACATCACAGAACGCCGCCGGTGGACCACTGAGCGACAGAAAGAGGGAGACAAGAGACATGAGACGGAGCAAAAAGAGTTGAGATGAGGTGGAGAGAGCAAAATAAAGGCGAAAGATATGAGAGAGAGGCAGCACGACAAAAGTGCAGCGGAGACGAATATAAAAGTAGATGTCAGGTCGCAAAGGTTACGTTTTAAAAGTGCGCAACCTTTCGGCATCACTTTCCATCTCATTTCATGAGCCTCTTTAAATGCAGCGAGCCCAGCATGACTGCCAAGAGGAGAGACTGATTCAAATGTGAACGCTGGGACATGGGGGATGGGTGAGAATTGTACACCAAATGAAACCCCTTCATAGCAGCTAAATGCTGGAGTTTTCAGGGAGAGAAAAGAAGTGCTGGGCTTTCTCAAAAGTGAAAGAGATGCGCGTTACATAATGGATGTACATTCGTGTGCATGTGTGTGCATTGTTACCATTTCCTGAATTCTCCTTGCAGCCTCTGGTCCCCTTCAGGATATCCTGGGTTAGGTTTGACCTGCAACAGAGTGATTTCAAATTGAGTTGACGTTTTTTTATTTAATTTAAAGTTACTTTGAGAAAGTTTGAACTGTTTTTAACCATCTTAATTTAATACTTTCGCCTCTATATGACCTAAATGAGTAAACGAGACCATCAGCGAGAAGACTGGCTATTTCTATATCTACGCTTGACTTTGGGTCAGATTCCCGTCAACCTTTATGGCACATACTGGTTCACGAAAAACTCTTTCGGCTCAGACATAAGCAGGACCCAGATCCGGCTTTGCTGCCAGGCCATATTGCTGGGCCCGCTGCAGAGAAGGGAGGCCCGGGAGAACCAGAACGAGTCTGGTGCTCGGAAACACGAAGGCTTCTGTCCACAGGGAGCGCTAAAATCAACACAAAGTTAAAGTTACCTGCTGTAGCTTTAACCAGCAAAGCCTCATTGAGATTAAAAATCTCCCTTTCAAGTAAATTGGGGCCAAGATATGCAGCAGTTACAATGAGCTACAGACAAACATTATAGGAGGGAGAACACACAAATGCTCAAATCATGAGGGTCAAAAACAACCTACAAGGCACTTAAAAAGAGCTGTCTAAAGCCGTAAAATAACTAAGACGCATCCAAAACAACAACTTAATGAGGCTCCAGGCAGAGAATATATATATATATATATATA